CTCCAAACCCCTTCCTTACCCACATCTCTCTTTATGCCCCTTAGCTGCATGAGCAGTGAGCTGGAGGGAAAAGAAACAGTTCCAGGCACACCTCCTCCAGCACCCCCAGTGTGATTTCACTGGGACTCCATCAATCTAAATCCAGAGATGTAAGCTCTGCCCATAAGCTCGCAAAAGAAGGCAGGTTTGCAGCCCATTCAGCCAGTTTGCACTTGACACAAGACTCCTCTCCCAGAAATCAGACAGCTTCCTCATTTAATTATTCATTGTTGTTTTTTTTTTGTTTCTAGCAGGTAAATGTATTTTTCTCACAAATGTTGTTATCAGCACGGTCAGCCCCATCTCCTGAGCATGTGAAACATCCTACCATTGAACCAATCTTACATATTTACTTAAAATATAAGGAAATCTGGTCATAAACTCCTATTGCTCTTGCCTCCATGGATTTACACATACATTTAGCTCTGCAATTAGCTGCTTTAATTTCAATAGAAACCTTTTATTTCCGGCTCTGCCCATAAGCTCGCAAAAGAAGGCAGGTTTGCAGCCCATTCAGCCAGTTTGCACTTGACACAAGACTCCTCTCCCAGAAATCAGACAGCTTCCTCATTTAATTATTCATTGTTGTTTTTTTTTTGTTTCTAGCAGGTAAATGTATTTTTCTCACAAATGTTGTTATCAGCACGGTCAGCCCCATCTCCTGAGCATGTGAAACATCCTACCATTGAACCAATCTTACATATTTACTTAAAATATAAGGAAATCTGGTCATAAACTCCTATTGCTCTTGCCTCCATGGATTTACACATACATTTAGCTCTGCAATTAGCTGCTTTAATTTCAATAGAAACCTTTTATTTCCATGGTCATTAAGAGGTAGAACTAAGTCATGCATTTGTTCTTTCTCTGTCCAATTAAAAAGATCGTTTCACCATTTCATTTCCTGTCTTACATTTACAGGTTTCGTTCTGGCTTCAAATTAGCCTTCCGGTGGTGCCCATGCATTAAAGCAACTGAGAGAGACAAACTTAAACTTGAGACCCCAACTTTTTACCAGACAAGCCACAGGAAGTCAAGAACAACAAGTTTCGACACAGAAACTCAACTCAATGAGAACGAGAAGACATCCTTTACCCTCACCCAGCTGACACTTTGATCTTCTCCTTGCGGTTCTGGCTCTATCCTAATGCACCACTTCAAGGCAGCAGATTGTCTTTTTTCTGCAGCACCTGTTTTCTGCAGGTCTTTTTCAGGTGCCATCAGCATTGAAAACAGTCTGCTGATGACACTTCTGTCCATGTAGGTCCAAATAGCATCCAGCTGTTCAGCCTTCCCTCACAACAACAACGACTGTCATACAGAACAGAGAGATTTTGCCCACAAGGTCAAAAAAGCAGCAAAGCTGACCTCAGGCAGTGTCAATCAGAAGCATATCAATTCATCTCTTCCAGATAGTGATCTCCTGCTCTCTGTTCCTCCAAGACACTAGCTTCTGGAAAACAGGTGGTGGAGCAGAAAGGCTGGGGCACATATGGCCCAATTTGGATGGACCCTAAGGGCTGCATGGGCAGTTCATTCTCGTGGCTCAGCAGTGCCAAGGCAGACAAAGCTGTGGAGCAGAGCTTGTTTACCACAAAGACAAATACTAACACTTGCAGATGGAAAGCGTGCCCTGAATTTTTTCTGATTTCCAGGATTTTTAGACCTGCAATTTCACCAGCATCATCTCTCATCATTTAACAGCAAGAAACAGTTCCTTCAGATGTCATAGCATGGATTTCTATAACCGTGTACCAAAATACAATGTCATTTTCCTATTAAACTGTGCCCGAGGAGTTCCTCCAACTTCACATCATTAATTGCGGCACCCAGTTTGGAGAGCAAGGCTCTCTGAAGGATTGGTAGCCAGGTGTGGGATGCTCATGGTCAGGTCTTATGGATCCAATTCTGAATCCACTTCCTTTACCTCCTTAGTCCTATCTGCAGTCTGACCCATCGCTGTCTTTTCCTAGACAGTTCCTTCATCTTCCCTTTCCAGACTTACTCCATTTTTAGCATCAATGTTCTTCTCAGATATGAAAATAAAAGCTGAAATATGTCACCTTCAAAGACTGAGGCATTATGTGCAGGCATGCAAAACAGGAGAAGCTGAAACACAAACATTATTTAGAAGTAACACAGCATTTAATACAGATGTGACAAGGAGCACCTCGCAATCACCTTCACCTTTTATGATAGGTTTGTATATAATAACACAGAGCCATACCTTAGCATACAGAAAAGTCCTACAATGTTGACAGGATACAGTTACTTGAAATATTCCTCTTTGCTCTGTGAAAGCAAAACTGCAAAGTATTGCCAGGCTTAAATTCTGCAGTTAATTCAGAGAATTCGTCGCTTGAACCAAAAGAGCGCTCAGGGATGCAATTTTCCCAAGCCTGCTTCCAGCAGATACATCTTCCTCCTCCACTTGATCTTCTTCACTTTCCTGGCTGCTGTGAGGAACAATTTTGTTACACAGAGGCCCAACAAACTTGTCTTGCTAGTGGGAGAACAGAGCACAGGGCTGTTTGCTTAAAAAGCTTACCATTGAAAATCATTCCAACAGGCAGTTTCTAGTTGAGAAGTTAACTGTCCAGCCTGCTCTTCCCAAGACTGCACCACTGGGGTGCAGGGCAGAGGGAGAGCAGTAAGAGGCATTTACAGAAAGTCCCAAGTCTTTCTTCTGAAGGGATCCAAAACAATTTGGGATGGATGCTCTGCAAGGCACTCATCTCTGGGATCAGACTAGTGGCTGTTATACTGTTGCTCCGAAGAACTGAAAGACACCTACACACAGAGTTCACTATTTCACCTACATAACTGAACCTCTCCCACGCCCAGGCCTTTAAATCCTGCAGCTTTCTCAGGCTGATCTTTTTAGACCTATCTGGACCATCCCCATCTTCCCCTGTCTCCCATCACACTTGAACAGCCAGGCAGAGCCTCTTTCAGACACCCAAGTGTCACCTCCGTGCTGGCACTGCCTACCCTGCGCAGTTCTCGACAGGGACTGATGCTTTCTAACAACCCATGGCACCTCCCTCTCTTGTTCGGGTGCAGAAGTTGCTCTGAAAGACTCACACTGCAGATCCTGAGAGGTTTCTCCACTAGAAACAGCAACAGTTAAGAAAGCAGAGATGCTCTGAACCCTTGCTAGATGGAAGAAAAGGCACACCAAGGCAGATTACATGATTCCCTGTGATGTATGAGGAACAGGAACACCATGCTCCATAGTAAATACGTGCAATTCTTCATATAAATATAGACACAATTAAACACCACTCAGCAGTAAAACACCTACAGGTCAGCAATAAATCCCTCCTCTGCACAGTTACTCATGCTTTAATCAGCAATGGAGACCCTGAAGTTAGTAAAGAAAAACATTTGAAGAGTCTCATTTTTATGGCAAAGGAACGAACAAAAAGCACAGAACGGGGTTCAGAAGTTCAGAAACACTTTATTTTGCCTTCTGCTATTTTCTTAAGAAAACAAAACAAAACAAAGTCTGCTTGTTTTAAAACCCATTCAAAAGGCTTCTGAGAGAACCCCCAGAGGAGTAAGGAGCAGATGACATTACAACAGTGGTATGCAAATGGTCTTTTCCCCAGGAAATATAAGATTTTTTGTATTCATATTGCAGTAATTACAGCTTAACAATTAAGAGGACTATGATCTTATTCACCAAGCCTAAAAAGCTTTAGGTAAGACATCTCAGTCATTGCTTGGATAACATTGGAGACATTTCTTCGGACAGTTATAGCTTGTGATTCACTTGGAACAGTTTCCTAGGGGTAAGAAGTAGTCTGGAAATGGAAATCCTACCGGGTCTCCCTTTGGAAAAGAACTGCTGTGTCTTATCAAGTACATCACCTATGGTCCACAGTAGGAAAAGTTGCGCTGTTAGAAACACAAACTCACTCCTTATTTGTTATGAGCTGGATCCAAGAAACAAAACGACCTATGCCAGCATCTCTAAAATTCACAGTCACCCTGAGACGAAGTTTAACTTCCACTTCTCATTCATCCTCTATCCTGCACTGAGCCTCGCCCTCAGATGCTGAAGAGCTCCAAACCCAGGTCCCCAGGCCTGGCTCACACCACCCCTACAGCACTGCCGATGGCAGGCATCAGATTTGCAAATCTTCAAGCAAGTAGAATGCAATGTGTCCCCCTGTGCCCAAAAAACTTTCTCACCTTCTTCTGTCTCCTATCTGGGGTCATAACTACATATCAAGGGCGCCAGAGACTATTCAAGGCTGTAACATAAGATGGGTTACTGGAAAAGCACAACTTCAGTGTAGGCAAAAGGGGCTTTCATACACAACTCCAACACAGGACATGCAAACCAGCAATGTATGAGCACCTGACACGGTGATTCTGCACACGTGAACCCTCTGCACACAGGCAGGTTACAGACTCTGATGGGCATCCAACTTCTGTGGGGTCACAGCGACTCTCAGCATCCATCTCTGTGTATCTGACAAAGCCTGATATAATCAGATTGGCTTTGATGCGGTGGGCTGGGGTTTTCCTGCTCTGCAGATCCCCCTGCACCAGATGCACCTGGACAAACTACACGCACCCTAAGATCTGGGTGTTGTCAGCTTTGTGCCTCTGCCGAACTACATTAGGAAACACCAGGCATGGGGACCTGGGTGAAATCCACCCTGTTTGAATCTGACCCTGAATGCCCGGGAACAAAAACACACACACAAAACGCAGGCACCACTGGGATTAGGTTGCAGCTCTCCCTACACAATAGCTCTTCCCAAAGCACTAAGCCACCAGCCAACAGCATCTCTCTTCCAGAAAGAACCACTAAACACCAGTTAACGCACATCAAAAAAGTTTAATATTTTCACAAGTATCACGTAACACTAGTATTGGAGCTACTAGTGTGCAAAGTAAGAAGACTCTCTACCTTTGCAAAACCAGTTAGGCATGCAATTTTTCAGGTAGACACACACTTAAAGCTCCAACGACTGTTTGTGACTCACATGTTACTTTACAACATTCACTCACAGTGCACCATAATGCATATTGAAATGTTATCGATAGGTAGGGCAATCCAAATCTTACGGGAGTGGAACAAGGACAAAGAGGAGTAGCCTGCTAATTTCCATCTACTTTCTGCAGGAAAAGGCAGCAGGGAAAACTATGCAGACATCTCAAATCCATTTTTGGTAGATGAGTGGGGATTAAGGGCTCCTGTGTGGTCTCCCTCTTTGCAGAAAGTGGCGTGACTTGCAAATGTTGTTCAACGTTTGCCTTCCTGACTGTGGCTCAACTTAGGTAATGCAACAGGTAAGCAGGTACAATAATGGCATCGACCTGACAGAGGACAGGATACACCAAGTGTGTAAGATTTTTGCTGCTGCTTTAAGTCCTTGAATAAGCTGGGTCCAATTTTGGCTTTTGTGGTTTGCTCAGCTTGTGCATCCAGGTCCTCAAAGGCAAAAAATCAAAACCAAATCCTCGTATTCTGCTCTGATCACTAACTCTACCTGAGCGTTTGTGTTTTGAGTGGCTGCTGAACAGTATTATTAAAGCTTTGTGTGGAAGCAAATACCCATTTAAGGCAAGAGACGGAAATTCACACATCCAAGAGACACTGTCTAGCTGCAAGTTCTGCAGAAGGGCAGCTGCAGTGCCCTGATGTAGACTAACAAGAAGAGATAGAAAATATCCTCAGTAAGAAGCCTTAAAACAGAAGAACACAGCACAACCCACCTCGGGACCACAAATCTACCGACTTCCCAGGTCTGGAGATTTGGATTACCCCAATTGCCAACCACTTTTGTTGGACTCTTTAGGGGTTCCTGGCCAAAACGTGACAGGTTTTGCCCAGTAACACAACACTATTCACAGAAGCAATGGGAAATACCAGTGGAACCAGATCTGTGGGACAAGGGCATTTACTTTTACCATGACAAAACAGGCATCAAGGAAGCAAAGTAAGCCACGCTGTCAGGTCCCACGGGCAGAGTTACGTGCGTGCACAGCGCTGACACACCATGTTTTCACAATCGTTTTATACGGAACAACAGCAGGTAGGTAGGCAGGAGGGAACTGTTGCTTCCCCCTTTGCTAAAAGCATCAACACCCAGGTCTGGTGGTCAGTGTGCTGGCAGGGCACCTAACAGGGATGCTGCAAAGAACACACTTGGTACGGTGCAACGGGAGCTCTCAACGCACATCACTTGGCTGCAATTTCGTCTCAGACAACAACTGATTTTTTTTTTTTCAACAGCTGCAGAAATTATAGACTGATTTTTTCCATGACTTACAGATGGGGGAGGTACCAACAAAGTGAATAAGAAACATGCAGATTGGGGTCCAGAAACAGGAGATATTATTAACAGCACACATTCTATCTTGTATCCTATTTTTTATGTCATTAGTTGTATTTTTAATTTATTCTGTGTGTGTGTGTGTGTGTGTCCCTCCCACCCCCCCCCTCCCCGACAAAGCAGTGAGTTCTGGGTTCTTTTACCAGTTCTGACTAGGCAGTCGCTGCTTTATGAGAAAGTGCTCACAAGACAGAATGGGGGCCGGGCTGGTGGGGCTCAGTTCTGCTCGGCGTCGCGCAGCCGGCATCCCACCGCCGTGATCAGCGCCGCCCCTTTCCCGCTGCCATCCTCCGACAGCAGGAAGGTCACGTCGCAGTTGGGTGCCAGGTCTTTGACTGTTTGGTGCATGATCCTCGAAAAGCTGCGGAAGGAAAGGATGGCAGTGAGTGAGAGAGGGCCCGCAGCATCTGCTGTCCAGGCCTTTGCAGTGCTCCCCCCTGCTTTAGCTGGGGAAAGAACTAAAATCATAGAATCACCAAGGCTGGAAAAGACCTTTAACATCATCAAGTCCAGCCTATGATGGGAACTAGGATGGATTTAGAGACTGGAACCAGTGGGAGTTAAAGGAATAACGAACTTGCATCCCACCTTTGCTTCTCGGTCTTAACTCAGACTGCTAGTACCACAGCACAAGGGAGAGAAAAGATCATGTACAGTTGTCTCCTTCCCATCCATCTCCCTCCATGCACATCAGAGATGGGCACTAGTCCTCTCCTCCTCCTGCTGCCACCTCTTCCAGACTCCTGCCATAGCTTTGCAGCCACCCATCTCCCCTGCACCCTGACTAGAAACATCCTCCAAAGAGGCACCAGGCATTTCAGCACTGCTCTGCCATTGCCTTTGCATAGCCAAGAGGTCCTTCCCTTGCTGTGCAGCTTCCAGCTTGTTCAGCAAGCTGCCTCCCCTTCAGTGTGTCACTGCCCCCAGAACCCTTCACAGGCCCTTCTTGATCCTCTCCTGACCCTTTAGAAAGCCCTGACCCACCCCCGATTAAAACTTCCTTTTCCCCAGCTCTTCTGAGACCAGTTTGGTGCACTGAGAGAAAGGATGTACCACCAACGTGCTACAGATCACGGGCAAACAAATGCTGAGAAGGTGAATACTCACTGTGGGTGTAGTTTGTACAGTGTCCCATCCACACCAACCGTTATCTCCAGGTGCTCCAATCCTCTGTTCTCCCTAATTTTATCTACAACTGCAGCCATCCCAGCGCCACACAACTGAGCTGCTCGCCTGGACACGGCTCCGCAGACTGTCTTGACAATGATACTGTCGTCGCAGGTGCTGTTGAGCCCCAGCTGCTGGAGGATGGCTCGGACCTGCAGCAAGGCTAACCTGTCACTGCAGGAGCAGAAGGACACAGCATTACATGAGAAGTTTCCCTCAGTCAAGCCACTGCCACAAACCCACACCAGACAGCAGCCTTTCCTGACAGCGCAAGGGACCTCGGGAAATGCCAATTCATTCACGCCAGCAGCCTGCAAGAGAGGGGCACAGGCAGCAAGACAGGCTCTGGCTCCAGCTCTGCATTGCTTCCCTTTCCCTTTTCCACCCAAAGGGCCTTCCAGGAAAATACTCTTAATGACCAGCTCAGGGGTTTAACCCCCATAAGGTCTCAACAGGTTTAGCATTACCTTAGAATACAGAGTGGGAGCAATAGACACAAAGATACCCAGTAAAGAAGTGCTTATTCAGCTAGTGTTTGTTCAGTTCAACAACCATAGCTAGACACACAAAAGGGGCACAGGAGTATGTCTTGATTTTGAAGCAAGCAAATAAAATCATACTGTAAAGAAACCACGATTTAGAAATAAGCATTGCTGGAAATTCAGATGTTTTTGCAAAAAGTTCTTCTGGACATGTGCAGGCTCTTACTGAAACCAAAATTATCTCCGGAGAAGCAAGCAAAGCTCTCCAGCTGTCCCTCCCATCCAGCAGTGTCACCAGATGAGCATGACCCACACTTTTTCACCTTCCACAACCTCCTGCACAGTGCTCTTACCTCTCAATCTGAGAAAGAAACTTGGTTTCAAAGATATGTCTGGTCTTCAAGGTCTCTGAAATCTGGCCTCTGAACAGGAACCCCCGCTTGGTGAAGTCGATCAAAATATTGCGGACGATTTCCCCCAGGTACATTCCACTGATCATCTTCTCATACCTGCAATGAAAGGCAGCAGCATAGCTCAGAGGGATGCTGCCCACATTTGCAAAGGTGGCACTGAAGCTGTATTTTATCAGCCACATGTCCTGCCTGCACACACGGGGAACATGAAATATGCAACCTGATTTACACAAAAGGGCCATTTAATAGACAAATCAGGCAAGCAAAAGCATGAAGACTCAGGGGGAAGCCTTGTGAGCCTATCTACACTTTGTCTAGTCCTCACTACCACATTCCCCTAGCCAGGCTGTTGTTAATGATGGCTGCTATTTCTCCCAGAAAGCCCAATGCCATGCATCCCCAGTGGACCCCATGGAAAATTCATCTCCACTGCACAGCATCTGGGTACCCTCTTCGAGACATGACTGAGACCTTCAACAGAAAAAGCTCCATGGTTCCCTGCAACAAAATTACAGGAAAACCATGAGGTACAGTCACTGTGAGTGCAGCATTTTTAAGGGAATTCTGTGCTGCAAACCCCTGTGAAAGATAAAAGGTACACCTCTATGTAAACTAGCAAGCTGGGGTCCAGGGTTTAGGCTTTTCAGTGAATTCCAGCAGGCAGCCAGTAGTCCAAAAACCACAGAGAGCATGGTTTTTCCAAGATGTCTGGAACCTCTCTTGCCCCACACTTTGCACACAGGACTCAGGTTTCCCACTTGTAGACAACAAGGAGCAATCGACAAACAATGCTCAGCACCAGTACAGAGCAGCCCTGTGCTGAGGAGGGCTTTGCACTTCTCCTTTTCCAGCCTCATTCAAGCTTGAATGAAGCATTTTGGGGTCTGTGAGTTGTGCCCTTACCTAGGAGAACTGAAAACTCATCCAGGTATTGAAAAGTGCATTCAGCAATACCTCCTTTATTTCTCCTCCTGAAGCTCTAAAGCAGGGTTTCTGGCCTGGATTGAGTGGAGCCCAGCACACCACCCCACTGGAAGCAGGCCACATAGTCCATTTAATACTATGAGCCCTCTCAGGCTTTTACCCAACAACTGTCCCCCCTCTTGAGTGCCTAAGTCTCTCTGGAATAAATTATCCCCCCTGGAAGTCTCCACTATTGCCTTTGGCTGCTTACTCCATGCCAACTCTGCTGCTGCATCAGGCTTGCTCAGCATCCGCCTCTCTGGAGCTGTTTGAGCCCTAACCTCTGAAGAGCTTTCCAAAGGACTTGCCAACTTGTCTGCATCTCCCAAGTTCTGATGCAGATTTACTCGGGTCACAAAATCTTTTTCAAAGCTCCTGGCATCAAAACATTGCTGCAGAGAAGTTATGGAAAATTGCAGTCCAGGCATGGAGCAGCCTTGGCCACTTTCATCAGCACTAGAGACACCACTTTGTCAGCCACCTCTTTGTCATCCCTTTCTTGAAGGGGACAAGGAAGCACTTGCCCAAACAAGAGCTGGACCCCCAAAATGGTATCTTTCCTCCAGAGCCAAGAAAGGCAGGTCCTCTAACATGACATGTTTCATCCAGAAAATTCCCTGAAGCTGGCTGCAATGGCTAGAAAGCTCCTGACTAGTTTATAGTGAGCAGCTCCAAGACTGCTGGCTTGTCTAGGCTGAGAACTTCTACAAGCAGAGCCCTCCCACAAAGAGTTCAGGTAAAAGAGATTAAACTGACAGCAGGAGCAAAAGAATGACAAGCCATCTTAACCTCCTCAGTACAACAAAGGATGGGGAAAAAAGGTCTTACAGTAACTTTAAGACTTTTGAAGTTCTCACCCAAAACCCTGCTGCAGTCCCATGGCAGCAAATAAGCTGCAAAAAAGCAGCAACCAGGAAAAGCACAGAAGAGGGAGATTGCACAAGACAGCAGGGCTGCAGTCATTTTGGACTCTTATCCTCTCCCTTCTGCAACAGGGAGAAATCTGGTTCTCTCTTAAAAGCATTTAAGGCAGCCTGGCTTATACTTAGCACACCATTTATCCTGCATTTATTACCTTTGCTTTCCAGCATTTAGTGAGTAGTCATCAACAGCTTTGTCATATATTGTCCTGATATCATCCAGGCACCCATTATCCCCAAACGCTCCCCACTCCGTGTTCACGCACATCCGTCCTTGCTCACCATCCACCATCTCTATGTTTCTCATCTCTTCCATGTAACAGGCATTGCTGCCAGTTCCTGAAACAAGAAAATACCGAAATTACCCTTTGTTTGGAATAAAACGACACTAGAACAAGCACAACAGCCCTGACAAACCTTTCTGAGGGATCTTGAATGTGCTTTTTCAAATTATGAAGTCAAGTAATCCAGTTGAAATGTCACAAAAAACAGAGTCTTCAATCATCCCGATTTGAGGGAGAAGATTACTGCTGTGCTGCACTGCTCAGGGTGGCTCAGAGAAGAAGGGGCTCACCTAGGCCAGCTGGGCTGAGGGTCCCATGCTACAGGGAGGAGGAGTAGTATGGCACTTCTGGCACACCAGCCCTCACATGATTCTGAACCCAAATCCACAGCAAGCAACCAGCTGGATTTTGAATTTGGAACTACATTCCACAAAACCCACAGACACACAGAATTCAGGGGAAAATTTGCTGAACCCAAAACCACAGCAAGTTCTGAGGCATCAGGTAAAGAAAACCCCAGGGGCTCTACCAGCTAATTGCAGGGTACTTTGCAGTTCTTGCTTGGTTTTTTAAATTCTTATTCAAACTGCTTAAACTGTTTCTCCAGCAGGAAAGTTACTTCCATGTTGAAATTACACCATATTTAATTCTGCTTAAAGGGGGTCTTAAGGAGCATGTCAATTACAAAGTGCTCTGTGTACACAGAGGCCTTAGGGAGTAAAGCTTTATTAGCAAAGAGATGCAGCTTTTACCTGGGGCAAAAAGTTGCTTATCAAACCCTCATCTAACCCCGCATCACAGATTCTGTATCAATTAAATCTGTTTTCCTTTGTTGTTTTTTTTTTTGGATGGATGTAAGGGACTTGAAAAAAAAATAAAATTAAAAAAATATAACCATCTTCATACAAGGATGCTAATTCAGTGCAGCTCCAGAGCAGCTTTAATGCAGCATTAGAATGTATTAGCTCAGAGACAAAATATTCCCTTTTTAATCCAAAGGTATTCATTTGGCAGAGGTTAAAAAAAGCACAGATGCTGGCTGGAGAGGCATGACTACAGCAAGCAGATCAGTAACTGGCAAGTCTCCTATGCATCCAGTGTCCCCACAACAGGAATAATTAGGGAGAGCTGGCTGCATCTTTCTCAGGCTTGTGTTTTTTTTTTTTAGGCTACTATAAAGTCTGAGAAAAAAAAATAAAAATAAAAAAAATAGATCCTCCTACATTATTCCCTTGCTGCAGGAGAGCTGAGCCACAGCACAGGGCTTGGGGGCAAAAGTCTGGGCTTGCAGACCGAGACCCACATTGGCAGGATGAAACCAGACCAGACCCAGCTGGGGACCATCAGCACTGGCCAACCTCCTGACACTGAGCCTTGTCATCCAGAGCAAGCTAAGTAAGGGCTGCCTGAATATATGGATCTCTCTTAAATACAGGCTGTTAGACTGACTGGCTTTTAGAAGATCTCTTGTTGCCAGCAGATGAAAAGCTGAGACCGGGTCTCCTCAGTGACAGTTTCCAAAGTATTCAGCAGTGGAGACTCAAAGTATTGGCTCTGCTGGGCAGGAGAGGTGGCTCTGGGCAGAGACAGGGCATGACATGAACTCAATTTTGCAAGAATATTTTTCCCTACCAAGCAACAGTAGGACAGTTCACCCACCTCCCTGCCATGAGGAGAGCAGGGCGAGCACAGGCTCATGCAGGCTCCTCAGAAGACACCATCAGTCTGGCCAAGGAAATTCAGGCAGGGCAGAAGGAGCTATTAAGAGCCCCAGGGCTTTTTCTTTCATTATTCCAGATGTACCCAGGCCACCTCCAACCCTCTGCTCACAAACACATTGGTTGGAGAGCTTATCTAGCAGGGCTGCAGCAGGCAGTCCTCAAAGAACGCTCTCAGCACCCCAAGGACATGCTGTCCTTCCTGCAGGGAACTCTGTCCCTGAAAACACAGCACTGATGGAGCTGCGCAGACACGGCTGCCTACCCACGCCTCACTGTGCTGACTCACCCTGGACATTTTCCAACTGTCTAGAGGAGAACTGGGTGGTGTTTGATTTTCCTACCAGCCACCTTGCAACTGAAAGCATTCTTAAAGCTTGCAGGTGCCTCGTTCCCTTCTCTCCCGCCAAAGAAAGCTCATTCCTCTGGAGACCTTTGGGAATTCTCACCGCCTTGTGCCACAGGCACCCCAACCCTGGCATTTCCCAAGACATTATTTCAGCTGTCTCACTGCTGGGAAGGGACCTGACAGGAGCTGCCCTTGGTCTATCAGAGCTTTCCATCACATGCCACTCGGGAATTGTGGCTGTGCTTTACAAGTTTATTCTGAGACGCTCAGGAGAAGCTGTGGGCTACCTAAACACCCCAGCAGGGAAACTCCTACAGGCTGAACTAACAGATACTCCTGGAACTGGTGAAGATACCTGTGCCCACGTGTGCTTGATTCCCAAGCAGCATACTGCCTTTTCCCAGTTAAAACTGGCAGCATCTGCTCAGCATTACAGCCTGTGCTTGTCTCAACTGATTATGCACAGAACTAAGCTGGCTGCTGAATTCTGCTCTTAATTCCTGCACGCAGCTTGCTTCTGAGGGGAGAGCTGTTAATCTCACAATCTTTCATTCCTGGACACACCAGCTGTATTTTCAGTTAACCACAGGGGTGTCTACACAAGAATACACATCAATGTGTGCTGTTTAGTAAGAAAGTGTCAAATAAAAAGCAGTCCTTACACATACCCACAATGAGTCCAATTTCACAGTTTGGGTCTTCATAAGCACAAGTCATCATTGTGCCCACTGTATCATTCACCACAGCCACCACATCCAGGTCAAACTCCTTTGGAAGAGAGAAATAAAACAGTGACAACCCTGGGTTTGTGGCAGCCTCTCACACCAAAGAGAAGATGAAAGGAGTACACCATTGGGAGCTCTGTCAAAGCACACTGGAAACAACTGAAAGTACCAGCCTGATTTTACACATGAGGAAATAGGAACCTGATCTACTAGCAGGTAGCTAAGGCTCCTCACATGCTCTACCTGCAATAGACTATGTCTTCAGAAGGAAGTAGCCAGTCTTCCCGGCTGTTCTTTTTGGCTTAGATATAATTAAGCACAGACCTTGCATACAGGTATATGGTAGAGGGCTACCACCATTCTGTATTGCAGCAGAGTGGTAGGAGACCCAGTAACAAAGGTTTTTAAGATTCTTGTTCCACTTGCTGATAAAACTCTGCTAAAACAAATGGTCTCCTATTTTCTTCCCTTCCTAGAAAGATTCAGCTAAGCTGCTTGAGGCTTTTTCAAGAACAACGGTTGGGGGGGGGGGGGGGGGAAGGAACTCATTTAGTATACACTGAGGCATATCCCTGCAATTACTGCATTGAAAATTCCTGCCTTCTCCATGCTCTGATGCAGTGAAAACTGCCAGAGAGTTTGAAAGAAGCCTTGAAAATTCTGCCAAATTCAGCAAGTTAGAAGTCTCTGGGGAAAAAGCAAAAAACAAACAAAACTAACCAAGAAACGAAACAAAATCCCCAGTGTGTTTCATTTTGAGTAGCTATTTTGGTTTAGAGCTGAACTCTCCCCTTTTCCACTGCACACCCTCTAGACCATCCTATGTGGTGGTCAGGCTGCATGCCAGCATCAGAACCAGCACAGCCACGTGGCACCAGGGGCTGCTGGACTTGCTGCAAGGCAAACACCTCCTGTGCAGGTCAGGAGACACAGCCCATTTCCTCAAGGCACACAAATGCTGTAAGAGGGAACCAGCCTGACCCATGCGGTCCATCAAGTCTGGAGAGGATGGAGAAGAAGGAGCCGAAAAAGAAAACAAAACCAAAAGAAAACTTACCTCTCTTCTTTTAATTCCTTCTCTAAGTAAATACACCACATCTTCTCCCTCACAGTCTGTAGCTTTGAAGCCTTTTGTCCAGTTGAGAAGGATACCCTAGAAAGAAAGAAAACACGTTATGGAGATTCCTGGTGCACTACAGATTGCCCCCAAAATCCTACAATCTTTCAAGGGACAATCACTCAGCATTTCTATCTGACAACTTCCCTGCATTTGCTCTCCTCCCTAGCCCATGAAAGCACAAGGTCACAACACTTCACACAGGTGACCACAGGTTATTCCACAACACACCTCCAACCCCACTTTCCCAGTAAGTAGCCATGAATATTTATGGCCAGCCAGTACATGAACCCACAGAAGCCCTCAGCTCAAGGAGGTTCTCCTCTGTTCACCAAGATGGGTGCTACCTTTTACTGAACAACCTGCCTTCTCAGTCAAACTCCAAAGTCTCTGTGGGTTGACCAAGCCTCCTATCACCAGCAAGATGACAGCACTTTAGAGCTGGACATTTGAATGCTGCTCCTAACATCCTATTTCCTCCTTCCTTATATATGAATATTCATCTTATTTTTGCTAAGACTCAGGCTTTACTCTGTACACTTGACACTTCAAATGCTTTAGTGAGGGGTTATACAGAAGAGGCTCTGTGAAAAGGAGTATCTCTTTATATATGTGGAATTTGCATCAAAAACTACTAATAACTCTGGGTCTCCAAATTCCCAGAGCAATGTCACAAACTCCAAAAAAAAGAAGTGTGACAGAAAATATGTCTTTCTTAAAAAAGCAGTGTTAAGTAGACAGGAAACTATTAACAGCTGCACAGGTGGACCTGGTGGAAGTATGTGGCAGTGAAGAAGTTAAACATGAAAGCAAATTTTAAAAGGGTACACTTGAAAGGGACATGGTGTAGGCTACACTGTCACCTTCAGGGTGACATAGCCAAGAAGGCCTTGGTCCATCTGCTCCAGCTGGAGACACTAGATCAGCTGGGGAAGAGGAGCTGGCACCAGGGATGGGTTTTTGCTCACAAAACCAGTGCAGTATCACAATCCAGCACGTTTATACTATTAGGAAAAACATGATGCCTTAAAAAAAAAAGGGATATTAGCACCATAAAAAATGTAAATGCTCTTACCTGACATAGCCATGGGCTGAGCAGCATTTGCATTACTAACTTTAAAGGAACTATTTATAGGAGCAGCTGTACAGGTCAGGGTCAGAGCATGAACCCTCCCCTTGTACAACCTCCTTCCAAGTGTCATATAAATGACATGAAGGCAGAGAAATCAGACCTAGCATAAGCACAACAAGTAGATTCTGAACTTAACAGTAAGGAACTTACAGCATCCAGACTGGTCTGCTTGCAAGGGAAGGAAAATGTGAAGCCAAGAGGAAGACGTGCACCTTTTATCCCCATATAATCCAGGAAGTCAGAAATGCAGGTAACGATGTGATCAAACAGCTGTAAAGAGAGGGAAGCCATGTATTTGAAATGGTACATGTTACATGCTCTTAAGAAGGTATTTTAAAAGTAACTGTGCTGCAAAAGAGAAATACAAACACTCACCTCTTCTCCTGTTCCCTGCATCACCTCTATAGGAATGGCATAGATCTTGTTGTGCATCTCTACTGTTCTCCTCTTACCACTGCGGATTTTCACCAGCAAAACCCTGAAGTTTGTCCCCCCAAGGTCAAGTGCCAGGAAGTCTCCATTCTCTGTAAACAAGTATTTAAAGAACCATAAGCAGAATGTTAAAAAGTGCTTCTCCCAGAAAGCACTTAGATATAAAATCTCTTAGAAACTCTCACTTGGGAAGATCTTCACCAAAGGAGGATTTTAGATACTGCTCTGATTAGTCCAGCCTTTTTTTTTTTCTTGTGGTTTTTGGTTTTGTTTTAAACCAACAAGAGAAAGAGGATCCATGCAATTATTCCCCGAGAAAAGGCAGAACTTTGGCCAGTCACCCTGAAGTGCAAAGAACTACCCAGGTTGTGTGGGCATGGTTTGGGGTTATGAGCCCAGCCGCAGTTTTCTCCCTGGCTTGCTTGCACCCTGGGGCAAGGACATCGGGCTGGGATTTCCTCCTTTGGACAGCTCAGGAGGTTCCATTGCAGCACACCTGCTCACCCTCCACCAAACCCCAAAGCCCACGGCTGGCAGCCCATTCTGGGTGCCCCTCACTCCAGCGAGGCCACTCCTCTACCTGTCCCATCCGGCGTGCTGCGGACGAAGGTGGGCAACATCTTCACTTTGGCCGTCTCGTGAGTCTTCTTCTTCAGCCCTGCTTCCATCTCTGCTCTCATCCTCTTCTTC